TGAACAATAAAATTCACCAGACTTCGAAAACGGTTCTTGCAAATTCTGAAGTAGCAACTTTCATCAGCATATTAAGGAAAGAGTCAGCATTAAGATCATACCGGCATTCATAAAGGGTGCTAACTTCAGTGTACAGGGCAGTGCGCATCTTTGGCGTCCCTTCGTTCATCAACCGCATCAACTCTTTGGTTCCATTTATACCCGTCTTCACGGTAGGCTTCATCGATGACCCTTCGACGTTCTCTTTGTCCGTCATACCTAAATGAGATATGTTCATTGTATTACTGTAAAAATTATGCTAGAAAATACCTTCGCGTGCAAAACTTTATCGCAACTTCTGTGAAGAGTGAATTTGTAAAAGCTGTCCAGATTTTCACTCAGAAATTGTCAAAAAAACCTTACTCATTTCTCTGAAATTCGAATAATTCTGCAAAAAGTGAAGCGTGTATTAACGTAAAACTTTGCCGTCCTACGTCCATCATAACTGAGTCGATCACTTTATATTTTAGCTGAATGGAAAAGGTATGCAAATCAAGCGACTGTCGGCCATGCCGACCTTCGTCATTTTCCATGACATTTCTCCTTTGGGGTCACGGATCAGACGATGCTTCCAACGTTACCGATCTTGTGCCAGAGTTTCAGCTTCGACAGAAGACAACTAGAGTCTGCAACATTTTTCTTCTATATATTTGCATCAGGATAATCTTGGTCGTCCCCTGCGTCTTCTCACTGTCGGTTGGGCAAGAAACAGTTGCTTAGTCCTCCTTTCTAGAGGAATTCACAACACATGGCCAAACCATCGCAGCTGTGACATCTCAACCTGGAGAAGCAGAGGTGGTACACCAAGGCTCTCCGGGATGTCAGTATTCCTGACCGTTTCAAGACGCGCAAGGTCTGAGGTAAGAATGGGGATAAAGATCGACTTGAACACTGAGAGCCTAGTTTTAAGAATAAGCTCTGCCTTAGTAACAATCGGTCAGGCTAGTTCATGCAGAACGCCATTGGCTGCCCCAATTCGCCGGTCGATCTCTTCCTCAAATTTTCCATCACTAGTAAACACGACCCCGATACGCATAAGCTTATCCACTTGCTCCACTCCTTATCCGTTAATCTGAAAAGAGCAATGGGCAGGAGAACGGGAAATCATTAGGCCTCTTGTTTTAGATACGTTAACACGCATGCAGGCATTCATCAGCGAACCCTTCCAGAGAGAGTTGTAGATCAGTTTTAAAAGATGCCAACAAATCAAAATCCTCTACAAACAACTACCTTCAGGTCTCGACATGATCTACAATGAAACACTCATCGGTCTGGGTGAGCATGACTATTCTAACATGTACAACACAAACAGCAGAGCACAGCTATGGCAGAGACCAGTGCCAATGTTTAAAAGTCTCAAATGAACGCCGTCTATTCTGACACAGGACCTGATATTAGCATATAGTGATCGGATGACCCGTAGCAACTGATCATCGATTAAACATGTTAGCAGGCATGTACGTGTATTTTTGCGCGGGATCCGGTCACAGGCTTTCTCAATGTCAACGAAGCACATGTACACCGTACGGGCGAACTTCTACGTTTTCTCAACAATCTGGTGTAGGACGAATATATGGTCAGAGGTGCTTCGACCGGCGATAGCTACGCTGTTCATGTTGTATCTCGGAGTCAGTGACTCAACATCACTTCCTTTCTAGAACCTTACTCGGGAGGTTCAACACGGCAATACCCTGATAATTGAAGCAGGGTCTCCTTTCTTTAATAGAGGTAACACAAAAACCGTTTCCGGTCCAATGGTGTCTTCCCCGTAGCCGCTGCAGTTAGACAGGCATCTGTAAGCCAGCATAAGCATGGTCCGTCTACTGCTTTGAGCATTTCAAGGCGAATTTCATTAACTACAGTAGCCTTTCCACTTTTCAAGCTTTCTACAGCTAGCGTGATTTCATCTACAGCGATAGTAATATCCGTTCCCTGTAGCTCTTCAGGCAAATCTTCCTGCGGTTACACAGGGTTAATGAGTTCCAAGTATTTTCTCCATCGCCTAAGAATGTTCTCATCTGTGGTAAAAGGGCATCCAAACCGGTCCTTGAAGACCCTTTAACTGCCCTCCTTTTCACCTCGAAACCAGAGAATGGTCTTCGGGAATACCTTATTTGCCATCCAGAAATGGGACTCCAACACCTAATCAAACTTCTCCCGAGAATCAGTTTTGGCTTTCGCCAATGCTTTCAGTGCCGCCTTACGCCATTTATTATATCGCTGCGAACTGAAGGCTCTTTCTTTCCATGTCATTTCTTGAATGCTGTCTTCTGGTTAACTACCAGTTGTACCTCTCATGCCCACCAAGAAGATCTTTTCTGACCTCCAGGTGGCAGGCCAACCTGTTTAATCCGCAGCATTCGGCGGCAGCCTCGAGTATGCCGCTCTTAAAGAGTTCCCACCCGGTTTCCACATCAGTGATCATCACAGGGATCTGCTCAAACCGTCGTGCGATGTTGTTTGCAAACGTCGCTCTCGTATCTACCAAATATAATGTTTCCCATTTGATTCTCTGGTTGATTGTACCACCAGATCGTTAAGTGTTAAGCTATCTCTCACAGCATAGGATGAAAACAACAGCTGTGCACCTCTCTTAACGGGAATACCCGTTACAGAGACCCGCAAGTTAAGCGACATTGTTATCAAATGGATCATCGACTTCTGTGCACAAGCTTCGGTGTACCAGGTATGCTGATGTTTGATTTGATGCTCGAAGAATGTGTTCATAATCGACAGCGACCTCGATCCGCCTCTCCAAAATGAAAGAAAAGGTAGACGCTTGAGTGAACAACATAAAAATGAGTACTTTCTTGACAGAGAGTTAAAGTACTTGACTAGAAATGCAATAAAATGAATACATGCTTCGGTTAGCCATGTATGAACGTGGAGGCATATAAATCAACCGTCACTTCTTGTGCTTCGACTTCAACAAACCAGTTAGTTCGTAACATATTGTTGACTGAACTGACTGAAATTTAGAATCACTGCATTTTACAGTCATTCAGCCTTGTAAACATATTTTCCATCCACTGTATTTCCATAACACTATTAAGCCAGTTTCTTTCTACTGAAACTTGGATCCTGAATGAATACATGTATACCTGAAAAAAACAATATTTTTAACTACTATCCAAGTCAGAATTTCCAAAATCCGAAGGCCTTCTCATCCAACGGTTAAAGGTGCAAAATCGAAGCGAAAAAACTTTATATTTGCCAACATTTCGAACACGCTACAGTGTCTATCATCATGGCCTGAAAAGTCCTTGCACCGACAACGGCATTCTTGGTGCATAGCAAATGGCATAATTCCACTGACTGAGATCACCGGCATGAGGCGCAAATGCAGTAAAGCAAACAATGCTTAGTTTACGGCCTGCAACTTCGTCTATTGATAAGCAATGACATAAATTTCAATGTCATAGCGAAAAGCCAACGTGTGATGCAAGATTCTGTCGCCTCGCCATGGCTCAACTCACATGTACAGATTATGCTGATAATATCTAAGTACTTAGATTTTGAGGTCGTTACTAGGGTAACTATACGAAAAGCATACCTATACGGCATTAATTTGTATTCAATGATCCATTACTAAAAACACAAATCAAAGATAGATATGCATGATGGACAATGGGACTATTAACAAAACTCCTTGACAGCACTTGGAACATTTTTGATTATGAGGTATCGTAAGCACATAAAATCAGACAGAATTGATGACTGGTGGGCTACACATGACAACAGTATAGCTGGTATACCATAAATCGACAATGCAGATCATCCTCCCAATTTTAGCAATCAAAGAAACCTCAACTACCCTACCAGCTTTGTCTAAGTATGGATCTTCACTTTACAATTAAGATGCCACTATTAGCATGTGATTCAAAAGCCAAGCGAAAGGCTGTGAAGCTTGTTTCAATACTTAAAAGTGTTCCACATAATCTGTTGGCATTGAACATTTCAGAATCAGTAACTGTCCAAGATATTTGTATGCGAAACAATATAAGTAGCTACACAAACTGAATGTGATAGTCATTCATCACTTCTGCTTCGCAGTATTTCTGTCAATATCAAGTATACGTTCGAAACTTTGGCCGATATGTAAATCATATGACTGCCAAAAAATGTTTTGTTTAACACAACAAGTGATCACAGAGCGTGGGAACAAATTTCGAGTGGGTCTGCCAGTCCCATTTAACCAAAACTTAGCTATGAAGCCATTTATAAATGTTAGCAACTTCCCAATGCTATTCAAATGCTTCTATTTAACCTTAGACGATGTAACAAGAACAGCTTCACTCCAAAATCGTATGATTAACGTTACCATTAAAAATACCACTGAAATCGATCTTCCCGAAACGAACTCGAGCTTCCCTGAGCGATTTAAGATGACCGTCTAAAATTCTGCGCATTAATGTTAATAGTACGACTCGAAATACTGATAGCTTACCTGTTTCACGTTTTAATAATGTGGTTTTTGCAGCTGAAGTACTAAAAAAATAATTATGATGTTAATGACGAAATCCTCATTACAGTATCTGAAATAAAACTGAAGCACGCGCGCCAGTACCGTTCACACCTACAACGAGTCTCAGTCATCTCAGTCATCGAGCACCTGAGATTAGCATTTCAGAGCGGTCTTTCGCCTACAAGCTTGAATTATATTTTCCCCTACATTAGACGCACGGGTAACAGTGCTGTTTAACAGCCAGCTTGAAATATAATAAGACAAAACCAAGCGAATGGTCAAGTCAATTATACTCTGACTTAGCTCTGGTTCTAACGTCTTCCCTCTAGACCAAATGCTACGACATCCAAAGATGCAAGCTATCGATAGCTTAACCATTTGGAAACTGCATAAGT